CCCCGCTTAGGGGCCTTGGAGGCTTTAAGCGCCCGCTGAGGGGCCTTGGAGGCTTGGAGCCCCCGTCGAGGGGGTCTGCTTGGAGCTGATGGCGGTGGCAGGAACAAAAAAAAATCTTCTCTCTCCACATAAAAAAAGCTCCACAGGTCAGACTCCTGTAGATGGGGAGGGCTGAGGAGTTCACATGCCTGGTTCTCTGCTGGGTCCATGTTGTTGGCTGGATCCTTCTGTCAAGAATCGGTGTTTGTATGGAGGACCCAAACGCAGAGACCAGTAGGCAGAGGTGAAGGCAGGACAGAGAAACAGAGGAAGGGAAGACACAAGAGGGCAGCAGAGGACAACAAATGGATAACAGGAACAATCAGACCAGGACCATGACAACTGTCTTTGTAAATTTTTTTTCATGCCTAATTTATTTATATATTTTTTTTGTAGGTTTTAGCTAGGTGCAAGTTTTTAACCTGTTATTTTTGACATTACGTAAAATGATTACTGATATGATTCTTTAGGTCAATATTGCCTTCTTTTCTCTAGTTACAGTACCTGGCGAAGATCACACAATGAAAACAAATGTTACACCACATGAAAAAGTTATTAACACAAATAACAACAACAACAAAATGACATTTGTAAATGATTTGTAGAAAATATCTAGCGAAGGGAACAGCAATGTGCATGGCTTCAGAATGCACTGTTAAACCTATGCACATATCTGCCAGTAATGATACAAGGAAAACACACATATATAAGTAAAAAATATCAGCTGGCTGATGTAAATGTCTAACTCTATTTGTGGCTCTTCTTTTGTTTATTTTGTTCTAACGTCATGTTCTTGACTTGTGTTATATGTAGTTTTTTGTTAGTTCCTTAACAATTAAACCAAGCATGGTTTTGTTATTACTGTTACAATAAGTTTATATATTTCCATTGCTTTCTTTTATTTTGATGCATGTCTTTTTTAACCTGTACTGGGCTCTGTGTTGGAATATTTTAATTAATCCTCTTTCTTTGCATTTAAAAAAAATGACAACATGCTTCATTAATAATAAAAGAAAACGTATGTATAATATCACAGAACTGTACTTCATCAAAACTAAAGGTTTATAAAACACCTTATTCACTTAGGCTAAAATTTCACTATAGTAGCATTGAAAAAAAGCATCAGCAGCAACCATTAATCATCTCTCTCTCTCTGTGATACTGTTTTTTTCTCCTCTGTCTCACCAAAGTGCTTCACATTCACAACGTATCCACTGATTGCAATTTGCAGATATATTTGGATGTGGATCTAGTGAATTGATTAATTGTTTTATTTGATTTCAGGATTTTGGAGTAAAATAGATGACCCTGACAGAAACATGCTCACATTGTCACCACAGAGACACATTTGATATGCATACAAACCAGAAAATCAAGAAAGAATGAATCGTTTTTTATACTCTGTTTGAAATCTGCAGATAAACCTTCAAAGGAGAATGAGGGTAACAGGACTGATTACCCAAGGCGCCAAACGAATCGGCAGTCCAGAGTATGTCAAGTCATACAAAGTAGCATACAGTGATGATGGCAAAACCTGGAGAACATACAAAGTCAAGGGCAAAGATGAGGATATGGTAAGAGATCATCCACTTTTGTCTATCATTTCTCATATTGATAAAGGTTCATACTCATACATGTTCACTCAGAGAACAAAGACTATACCTATTGAAGGTCAAGGTAGAGGACATAATGAGATGGCTTTTTAATCAGCTCAAACATATAGGACACATCCATTTGCCCTTTACCCCTATCCACTTCCAGGACTTTTAGATTCAATTTATACGCTATTTGGGAATGAAGAGCCTCCAAATAGGCCACACAGCATTCTGTCATTCTTGACAGAAATCTACAGCTGTCCTTGTCTTATTCATTCAATGAGATGTACCTATTTTAAACTGTCCTTGAATGTTTCATAATTTAATCTATTTTTTGTATTTGTGGAAAATTGAAAAAAAAAATGATTCTGCTTTAACTTCTCAAAAACATAATTTAGTTAATATAATTTTTATTCAGTAACTCAAAAGAAAGTCTTGCAGAATTCATGGGGCACTAATTTAAATCATTATTTTTAACACACTGCTGGTTTTATGAATCATCAGGCTCAAATGATGCAGAAAGTTGTTGTTTTTCCCACTAATTTTCACTCATTGACCTAGAATGGCAGCATTTTGTTCACTGTGGGTAGCCACTACAGAGTGCAGTAGGTAGATTGCTATATTATAGCAGAGTTATATTTTTCACCATTCAATCTTCCCTCATCAGTGGGTGTTTTATCCTGTTTAACAGATTTTCAGAGGAAACGTCGATAACAATGCTCCATCAGCCAACTCTTTCACACCTCCCATTGAAGCCCAATATGTACGTGTTTACCCTCAAGTTTGCAGGAGGCACTGCACCTTACGTATGGAGCTACTTGGCTGTGAGCTGACAGGTATGTGGTCTTTATTATACAAAAAAAAATGTTTTAGATGCACCCATCAGAACGTTGGGTCCCAGTATTTAAGCTGTTTTTTTTTTGTTTTTTTTTATCTTTGACCTATTTGTGACTTAAACTTCTCTTCAAAATGTCATAAAAATTAGAAAGCTATAAAGAAACCAAATTGTTTTGTCACTATGTATTTATAATTCAATGTACTGTAAAACACTGTTGATGTAAGAGAGTAAAACAGGGTTGTGCTGAAAAAGTAAAACTATCTGTGGCATTTTATGTTAAACTTGTTTAGCAAGACTTCTTTTTGAAGAGCAGTCCTTTCACTGCACTTCAAACATACTTTCTTAACTTTAAGTTTTGTAAAACACTGCTTACAGGTAATCTAGTATATTTCATAACATGGACATTTTAAGGTAGTTATAATAAACCTGCTTTTTTTTATTTCAGTCTATAGAGAGTAGGCCTTTAACTGCATAGTTTGAGAAAAATCGATCCATCCAACCATCCATCTTCTCCCACTTATTCCATCAGCGTTACAGTTGGGCCGATGCCTATCAGTCTATGGGCGAAAGGCGGGGTACACTCTGGACAGGCCATCAGTCTGTCACAGGGCAACACAGAGATATAGAGAGAAACACACCCATGCACACACATTTGCATCTAAGGACAATTTAAGAAAGCCAATTAAGTGAACCTTTTTGGACTGTGGTAGGGGTACTAGAATACCCAGAGAGAACCCACGCATGCACGGGGAGAACATTAAAAATTTCATGCAGAGAGAGTCGAACCCAGAACCTTCTTGCTGCAAGGCAACAGTACTACAAACTGTGCCACTATGCAGCTAGTTTGATAAACATTTAGTTTAGATTGAATTTCTATTTTCTCATAGAATTTAGAAAGTTGCTAAAATCAGTTGACCGTCTCCAATTACACCTTAGTTCAATTTGATTTATCTTTATTTAGTGACAGCATCCAAATTAAAGACTGTTGTAGTAAAGGTGACTTAGTATAATTTTTTATGGTTTAATCTGTAATCAGGTTTTTTTTATTCTAGGGGCAGGTAGCATTGATAAAGCTCTTTTTACATCTTCTCTGTTAAGTATGAAATGCACACAAATAAATCTGAACCCTTTCCTTCTTTAAGGTTGTTCTGAACCGCTTGGGATGAAGTCAGGCCATGTTCAGGATTATCAGGTCACGGCTTCCAGCATTTTCCGAACACTCAACATGGACATGTTCACTTGGGAGCCTGGAAAAGCTCGTTTGGACAAACAGGGAAAGGTTAATGCCTGGACAGCTGGACATAGTGACCAGTCGCAGTGGCTACAGGTAAACTATAATCCGATTTTGATCCTCTATTACTTATTGTATTCAGAGAAAAATCCATATTTCAGCTGGAAAATAACCTGATAGTCAACTTCTTGCAGAAAGCTGGCTTTATATCTCATGCAAATGAATTTGACTATCTTTCATCACCCCCTCAGCCTCTGTTGCAGTATAATCATCTGTGGCTGCAATCCAGGTTTTCTGCCTTTATTAGACCTCTTAATCCTATTTGTTTTTATTATAGTAAATTATGCCAAAACATGTTTCTATTAAGAAAAGTACAATACACATATGCAAATGAATGTTAATTTGTGGATATTTCTTTTTAACAATATTAGAGCGTGTTGAAGGCTTGCAGGGCTCATAATAAACTACAGTATATCAGTAGTCCATCATCCTAACAATTGTGACCCATAAAACAACATATAATGTAGTTTTCCCTGAGAAAAGCCACAAATACCTTTTTCTTTGAGAGTATGAGACGACATCTCACTCCCAAGTTTAAAAGTTGTTGATAGAGAATAGGCTGTCTTGTGAATGATCTTCTATATATATATATATATATATATAAAAAGTAAAGATCAGGTTGAGATTTTTTTCTGGTAACTTTTTTGTCAAATTACAACCATGAACATCATTGTATTTTATATCTTTTTTTTTTTTTTTATAAAGATTTGCAAAAGTGTATTTTTTTTAATTAAAAAATAGAATCCACTATTTAAGCAAGTACAGTAATTGAATATATCCTTGTAATCCTAGCTTTGCTCTGCATACCAAGGAGGTTTCTTTAAGAACATAAAAAAAAAAACATTAGTGAACAGACAGGACCTAGAAATACCAAGAAACACAAGAGAAAGGTCAGGGATAATGTGAAAAATGGGCTTTGCAGTATCCTGGTGCAGGGATGCTTTTCTGTAGCAGAAAAAAGGAAGATAGCCTGAATAGAATATGGAATAGCAAAGTACATATCAACTGTAAATGACAACCTGCAAAGAATTGCAATCGGACAGTAACCCAATGAGTTTGATCAGAAGTCTTCAGCATGCGACTGAAGGGGTGTAACTACTTATGGATTGCAGGGGTACTCCATGAGGGTCAGAAATTCTGTAATCACTCAGTCCTGGCAGATCCCTAAAGCCAGGGATGGACAACTTCACTGAAGGAAGGAGGTGACTTTATCTGACTCTTGTAGAGGATTTTATCGGGACGCAAACTTAACTAGATATAATAAAACTGCATTTTTGAATATATATTTTTATGTATGTTTATCTAACCAACATACAGTGCAGTAGCTTAACATATTGCTTGTCCAAATACAGTTACAGCAATTGCACTCTTCTTTAGTAAATATAGGCACAAGGTTTGAAGCAAACAATAAGAACCATTTACTATGATTTCATTTTCCCTGAGTGTAAGAGTCCTATATGGTAGTGGTTTTTGTGTTGTTGTTTCAATATGAAGTCAACTACAATAGCAGCCCTTGCAGCTTCAATAACATATTCGACTTAGCTTTTGCAATGTGCTATAGAAGTGACTTATATTAAAATCATTCCTGGCAGATAGCATCTCTAAGCAGACTGAACACAGAAGTTTGCCTGAAAATTCATGTGATTTCCTCCATCCAGTTTTCTATTTCCTGTTTTCTCTGCTCCCTGCCATGTCTCTTTTTCACTGTATTATTACAACTACTTAATTACTGCAAAGACATTTTTATGTATTTTTTCTAATTTTCCTAAATTAACTTTTAAATGAAATAGTGGGCCATACATGGCCTGGGAGCTGCCAGTTTCCCATTCCTTTGCAATAACCCAATTGGGCAAGGCCAGGCTAAAAATATGCTGGATTTAGTTTGTTTAAAACAAGCATAGCGACCTGCAATATCGCCAAAGCTAAAATAAATAAATAAATAATAATAATAATAATGTATGTGCCACCTTACCAGAGGTTCTAAAAGTTGGCATTAAGACCAAGCTGTGGATACATTCTTGATGTGTGTTAAACACACATATATTCTTGTCTTGCTACTTTATGTTACAAGGTAACATAAAGTTTGATATTTAGCGAGTTTCAACCCATTCTTTGCCCTGATCCCGACAGTAACATTAAAGCTAGTCATTATCAGTGTATACCTAACCTTGTTCCTAAACTCAATTCACACCACGGTCGTAAACCTATTTGCAAAAAAGGATGGTAGGACCAGCAAAATGTCCTCCGTTTTTTTTTTTTTACAAATGGTCTTCAAATTGATGGAAAAGTTGAACGAATCGTTCTCCCTATGAGGTACTACAATACAGGAGTACACACACACACGCTCAGGGTCCTGACATGGTTTCTGCAGCAACCAGACAGTCAATGAATGAAAATCCCTCATTTAGATCAAAGGATAGATTTAAGAATCCTTGAGTTAATGGCTCTGGATATAAACCCAGTTGATGACCTGCAGCAATTGTTGAAGTGTTATAATCTCAGATGCATTCCATTTTGTCAGACAGAGCTTAAACTTCTTAAAGAAGGCTTGACCTGTATTTATATGAAGGTGAAACCTTTCAGATTTAATTTTGTAAAACTGTTACACTTTATATGCACACTCTACTTTGTATTTTAAATGAAAAACAATTCAGTTTTTGGTTAAGACGCTACAAAGTATGGAAAGGTTTAAGTTGGACTGATACCTGTGCAGCAAACTATAGCTATGACACTCTTCACATTCTGCTGTCACAATGATTTGCCAGCTGTAATTGGATTTGGTTCATCCAGACATTTTGTTGTAATTATTATCATGCTTAAAGCTCTTATCAGGGATGATGACATGCAAGGATGTTGGCTCAGGGAGAAAGGCACTTAGGCAGGACCAATCTATGCCATAGATCTCAGCTGAGCGTAATTGATTGCTTTAGGTAAAAAGGAAAACTTGCGGTCTCATATTACATGTTGTGCTGGCAGGAAAGGGGAGATACTACACAGATGCAGTAAGAAAATCAATGGCTTCCATTTCCCAAGTCAGAGACTGTGCACACAGGCATATATGATGTCTTGAGTCAAACAGACATGGAGAGTAATTTATCAAACTGTGCTTTTGCAAATGTATAGTAAAGCAATTGCTTGAACTGGGTGGTTTATATATTAAAGTATCATCTTATGTGCATTTGTTCAGCTGCAATATTGGGTATCAGCTTTTAAATGGTTGTCATGGTAGGTAATTGATACTCCGCACTAGCACTGAATAGTTTAAAGTGTCAAAGACTAATGGAATTAATCAGCCTTAATGATGAAATAAGTATTCCTATTAATCAAGAAGGTTGTTACATTATGTAGTGGAGGCAGGAGGAATGTTTATGCAAAGACTAAAAGATATAATTTAGGTTTATTGATGGATGTAACTGGTTAGAAACAGAAACTTGTGCAAGTAGTGAAGAAATTGGGTCCTAAATTTAAAATGTTTACAGAGAAGTCAAAGAACGCATTTACTTCTTAGTCAAGTCTAATTATTGAAATTGCATCTGCAGATGATACATCTGAATTGCTTTGTGTCTGTGCACTGTAAGTCAAAAGAGAAACTAGAGTGCTAAATGCATTATCCTAGCTTAGGTTTTCTTGACATGACAAGAGATAAATTTACAAAGAGGGGAGAATCAAAACATAATCTCTCAAGTTGTTTTCAGGGCTCTATGAGAATGAGCTGCCAAGTGCTCCAGCTGCCATGAGCTGATTACTTAATTATGAGGCTTAACATGTCCAGAGAGCAAAGAGAGATTTGTTAGAGATGTGTCTAATGGTTACACATTTCGCACTTTGTCTTTGTCAACACAAGCACACTATAGTTGTTTGTAGACCAGTATTATTCAATTTTGTGCTTAATCACATGCCTTAGAGAAGAATAAAGATGTTTTTTTTTTTCTTGTTGTTTTTTTTTTTATGGGGGAGCAAGGTTTTAAATGAAATAGGGTTTTAACCAGGGTTCAATGTTTTCCCTTAATTAGATAGTTTGAAAGTAAAAGGTGGGTAAGGTACCTGAAGATTTTTCTCAAGAGTACCACTACGTTTACAATTTTCTTACTCAAAAAGGAGTGAAAGGAGAACTAGAGAGTGAAGAGAAAAGAAAACTGGCCCCAATGTGCTGTAAAATACTGTTAGAGAGCGGATAAGTCAAACATCTGTGCTAGGAAAAGCTTGTATAGTCTATTCAGCATAACTAAATGGCTACAACTGACTGAATAAAGCATTTTTCCTTTTTTTCCTAAAAGCATAATTCAAATTTTACATTGTGGTTCAATAATATGATGTGGATAAAAATAAAAATATGAAATGTTACAAAGTCCAGGAATTCAAACTTTGTATATAATGTATACTTCTTCAACTATTTACTTTGCAGTATCTGCTTTTCTACATTGCAATGAAAAGACAGACCACTTTAACAATTAAGGCGTTAAGTATTTGGTATTTGACCCAATGTTCAACTTTTGGAGTTCAAATATTTTGGACACCCAGAACAAATTTGATCTGGAAGCACCATTAGTCTGACTGCACATTTTTCTGAACTGCAATAGGACCTTGTGATTTAACATTAATGGATAATGTATATAGCCACACCCAGAACTACGACAAGTAGATTGACCAAATGCAGCAGAAGTAAGGCAATGGAAGAAGTAACATGTAAATAAGGTAACAAATTTTAGCCTTGGGTACATGTCATCTAAGAACTAGTATTGACAAGTTGTTAAAAACTCCTTAAAACAGGCCTCACCAGCCTTTTTAAGGCTGAGACCTACTTCATGGGTACTGAGTCACAGGAAGGGCTACCAATATTGACCTGTGTACTAGAGGCGTCAGTGTTCACTTAAACTTCATACATAATGAATATGTTTTTATTGTTTCTGTTATTTCTAAATTTCTATACATGCTATATGAATTATTGAAAAAAGAGCAACAGAATAAAATTAAATTTCAAACTAAGCCCACTGGTGAGTTGTTTTATTCTCAGAAGACGCTGAGGGCAAAAGAAG